CATTAGATATTCATTTTACACATAATTTGGTTATAAATTAATTTAAGCAAAAAAAAAAATGAGGAGCCACTTGGGAGCCGAAAGAGCCGGCTCTTTTTAGTGAGCCGTGCCAAAGGAGCCGGTTCTCTAAAAAGAGCTGGAATTCCCATCACTACTTTGTAAGTCCTGAGTTTTAGAGCCTGGCGCTTAATAGTAACCATGAACCTTGAACCTTGAATGGGACAAAAGGTTGACTGGGTCAGAGAACTTCTGCAACATGACTTAGCGTCTTGTGCAACTACGATACAGCGTACTTATGAAACTTATCTTTTAAAATGTACAACAACAAATTAAAGGAAGTCAGACAGTTGGAGGAAGACTGATAATTATGTCCCAATTACATGCACCAAGATAGGAATGCAAGGTCAACACCCTGTGGAGTATAAACTAAAGAGTACGCTAAAGAGCTTCAGTTCTGGTAAAACAGTGTGAGTTGGACCCCAATGGCATTATATTTGTATTAAAGACTATCACTGGGAATCTGAGTTTCACTTGACCTATCGATGAAAAAAAATTTACTTTTATACTATTTTACAATATCACACCGCAAAAAGAGTGGCACCAAACAGACATGAAATAAAGCTTCCATACTTGGCAAAGTCAACCAGTCTGAAGGTTTTCAATCAGACCTCAACAGGTGATTTCTCTGATGAATACTTCCCCACGAGACTAGTCTAGTCTGTCTCTCCGCAGCTCAAGTAATTAATCATTTTATAGGTGTGACTTCAAAACACACATAGGGTAGTCTAAAGCAACAGTAGTTCACTCAGCGTTGATATGTATGACCAGTTTAATCACATGATACCATATGTTTTGACATCATAGCAGTTTTATCACAGAAATCAGGATTTATTTCTTGTTAAAAACTTCCTGTGTGATAAATCAATCAATCAATCAATCAAAATTAACATGTTTGTGACCATCATCCTGATTGTATTATGTTCAGAGGGACATCTGAAGCCATCTGGTTATATCTCATCTGATTTCTGTCTCATCCAATTAGGGACTTGATGTGTTCTGCTCTATTGTGTCTGTTTGGCCACAGTGACATTTGGATTCTCACATCTAAAAGGAAAACAACTGTAATAAATGATATAAACAGCCAACATTTACACAGATAGCAGATATGTATTTGGAGTAGTACGTGATAATGTTACGCTTTGGTGATCATACACAACATATTAGTTCTGTTTTTACTGTAATCCATTACGATGTACAGCAGAAGAAAAAAAACAAGGAGCTAAATAAAGACTAAAGATAACAATGAAGGCAGCAATCATACTATCTGACCTGTATCTACAGCACCGACCTATACAACAATATCCTTATTGTTACTATTATTTGAAACAAATAAACGGTACAGATCTCTGACCTGTATCCATCCTAACCTCTGTAATTTAGGTATTATTATCAAATGGAGTCAATAAAATCTTTATCAATTATTATCTCTGAAAGACAAATTTACTATTATATGAATCAAAATGACAGTATAGACGTCTAACCTGCATCTACAGCAGTGACCTATGCCTTATATCTACAGCACTAACCTCTGTCCTATATCGGTCCTGTCCTCTGTAATGTAGTATTATTGGCAAGTTGACTGAATTGAATCTTTATCAACTATCAAGTAAATAAAGAACAATACTACTATGCACATGTCAAAAGTAACTCCTTCACACACTACAGCAGTGCTCATACACTGAAATGGACTATGTTGTTTGTGCTGCCGCTCTGGGCAATCTGAACAATGACCTCAAAACAAGACATCTGTATTCAGAGTCCTAAAGGCTGCTCTCACATCAGTACCAGATTATTATATGCCTTCAGGAACAGCTTCTGTTGGCCAGCCATTATAATTACAGCTATTCTAATTGACCAATAAGCCCTATAGTTATGGATTCCAATTGTGAAGTTCAATCTGTGTGTCACATCTGATCACTTCTGTAACCCAACACTAGCTCTAACTCTGATAACTGTTCATAGAGCACTGGCTTTACAATCAGCTACAATGCACCCATTGATGAACTTAAATGGTGAACAGACTGATTTAAGTGTTTGACGTTAACTATGATTTTAATTTGAAGACATCATCGCGTTAACCAGTCCAATATTATAGTATCTGTAACTCTATTTGTTACCTTGAAGGCCATTCCTCTTGTCTTCACAAGTGGCCATTGTAAAATGTGCTGCACACACAGATGATGCTGATTCTCTTTCTACAAGTAACGCTTTAATTTAGTCAACTTGCCAACACATCTTGAAGTCTTTCTCAGGACACAGGTGAATTAAGAGTAATCTATTACTGAACATTAGCACATCCTCTCATCCACTGCAGTGTCATGTCCTTTTTCGACTGACCCCAGTATGTGTATGTGTTGAAATAACTGTAATTGGAGTACTACTTCTGCAACTTAACTTAGTGTCTTGTGCAACTATGAGACTCTGTGCTCATGAAACATATTTTTTGATGTGTACAAGAACAAAGTAAGCAAATTGATTTCTTCACTTATAATAAACACAATAATAAAATATAAATGAATACATGAAAAGAGAAAATAATAAAATACATTCAATTCGAAAATGGGACATATACTTGTGTAATTGTGTCTGTGACAACAATTATATTATTACTCATAGCAATATTGAAGTAAAATATAGCTAAGTGATAGTAAAATGGGAAACTGTGCAACTGATACATGTCCTAAAGGGACCGGCTGCTTATATGTATAATCAACATAGACCAACCTTCGTAAAGCCCCAAATACATTTACATACTAAATTTGTGTTTCTAGCTAATGAGAGTTTCAGCTGAGAGATATTAATTTCCTCAAGATCAATTTAGAGAAAGTGCAAAAGAGAGGAAAAAATATTGAGGTTAGAAAGTGTGATTTAGTAGCTTTCACAATGTGGGCACCATATAAGTGTGGTTCATTTAACACAGGTACTCAACCAATGTTCAGCATATGTTAACAAATTATGGGTCACAGAGCAACTGCTGATTGTGGTTTTCTTTCAGCTGACAGTTTCAATCCAAGAACGTTAAAGAAATTGAAAGAGAAATTAAAGCAGAAAGAAAGAGCAAGTCAGGAAGAGCATGATAAAATATCCAACCGGAAACAGAAAAATGTCACATTTTCATACAACTGGAAGATTTATGATTAGAAGTTAGTTGGTTGGTTAGAAGCGTCTACACACAGGGAAGGAACAACTAAGGCAGGGACAGTACTAACATAAGTATCTCAGTGTCTGAAGTACGCAGGTCCGGAGCTGGACTCGGCTCCACCGAGACATCAACGAACTGCACCTCGAAAGCCTCACCAGCACCAAGGAGCAGGTGGAGGAATTGAGCATCCTAATCCACTGCCCACAGGATGATGTCAGACCGCTACAAGCCATGCAACAATGATATGATGACTTACGTACGTTAATGATAGAGTACTTCTGCAACATGACTTAGCATCTTGTGCAACTATGATACAGCGTGCTTCTGAAACTTATCTTTTGATATACAACAACAAATTAGGGGAAGTGAGGCAGTTGGAGGAAGACTGATAGCTATGTCCCAATTACATGCACCAACATAGGAAGGCACGGTCAACACCCTGCAGAGTGTACACTGCTACATACACTGAAGGGGTTTGGTTCTGGTTAAACAGTGTAAGTTGGACCCCAATGGCATTATATTTGTAAAAAAAGGATATCAGTGAGAATAGTTGATTTTATACAGTGAGGTTGAGTGTCCAAAAGAGTCTCAGCTTTTTAGTCATAGACAATTTATGCAATCCCAAGACTCTTTATGGACTCCAGTATGCAGAAATATTACACTATATGAAAGTACACACAAGGACACTAGGTGAAAATAACACATTTATATAGTATTGAATAAACTGCATGGGATTAGTATAAAGTAAGCATGTTCATAAAGAGGACATTGATGGGTGCCCACAGAACATATTCACATTCAGATATCTTGAGGTCAGAGGACAAAGGCCCCTTTTAAAATTGTGTGTGCCAGTTTAGTGGATAAATATAACAGACTATAGATGAAGTCTAATGGAGACGTTATATTAAACATTTAAAGGTGCTAGGCCACTAAAAGCACAGTCTAATTTAATCTCATTTTTAGCACTATTTAGCCCCCTTCCTGACACAGTATCATGAGCTAGTTGGTACCAATGGATGCGTTAGGTCATCTAGGTTTATCTGATACCAATATCTGCACTTTAAAACAGAGCCTCCTACAGCCTCTGAGAGACAGTGCAGAGAGGAAGGGGTTAGGATGATGAGGTGGTACCTTGGGTGGCCAATCAGAATCGCCGCCCTATGGACACGCCCTCTGTCATAATCTGCTACATTTTCTGTATAAATTAGACTCCCTCCGCAAACTTTCATCCATCTTTGTGGAAGACCTTCTGGTTTCCACTGCTTCATAAACACAAAGACGCCATTTGGAAGATACGTGGGAGGTGGTGAGTTTTATCTTTCCTGCAAAGAAATGCTACAACCATGATCTAATCTACAATTCTTTATTTCTAGACATATTTGAACATTTCATTTTTTCTCCCTCCAAACTCTTTCTACAAGAGAAGACAAGACAAATATTCAACTCTACATATTCAGTCAAAAGTCAACTTAAGAAACTTAACTAAAGAAAATAAACTATATGTGTAACTGCTACCTAACTTAACTCTAATGATTGATTGTGTTTGTTCTCTCCTCTGATCAATGATACAGTGTCTGAAGATGGTGAAACTGAAGACAGGGTCTCTCTGGTTCCTCGCTGCCTTCCTCTTCCTGTCCACTGTTCCCACAGTGGCTGAGGTGCTACATGCATTTTCTTTGTGTGAAGGGTTTCTCCTTCAGGGAAATCCGCCACAGATCCCAGGCGTCGTGAACGGCAGGAACATCCAGAACCAGAACCGATACAAACCCATTTGCCAGACTTACAATGATGTGAGAAGGTATCTGACGCTCTACGACACCAGGAACAGGATTCCAGTGTTTTCTGCTTACGTGTACAGAGGGGACGAAGGAGGGGCAAGACCTCAAGGGCAACTCTGGAATATAGAGCCACAGGTGTGTTTTTCTTTCTCTGATTCATAAAAGACTGAATTAATAAACATACAGTGATATTGTATTTTGTGTGCCACTCGTGCATCCACATCCATAGAAATACTACGACTATTAACTACTAATAACAATAATTGTAATCTACCACTATAAGGAATAACAATCATACAACTACTTTCACTGCACTTTCATGTAGAGGACACTGGTCTACTGACAGTTTGTTCAACCCTGGTTGGACCCTCTAATATTAAAACAGCTGTCAGAGGTTAGTTTATGGTTTTCTCTTTAAGCAGAGACTCCAGGCTGCAGCGTCACACTGGTGATATTCTGTTTTTGTTATTGTCAGAAAAATCCATTAAAAAGCCAACAGCAACAATACTTTCTGACTTCTCCACTCTGTCTGCAGCAGTAGCAAAGATCGGCTCACAGATATATAGTTGTTTATATAGTATAAGTGTTTTTTTTTATCAAATGCTACTCAAATAGGAGTAAATAATTCATTTGTTTTGGACTATTTTCAGTGGTGGATTATTCTCATTATTATACTGGGGATGTAGTGAGTATTTGGTGCAGCAGGACTGTGTCTGTGAGACTGAGGTAAATTAAATTACAGTGTGTGTTCACGGCTCTTTATATCTGCCCAGGTATAACAGTTAAAAATTTGCCAGGATAGTTAAACTGTCACAATTACAGAAATGTTCATTAATGATCAATGTCTCTGTCACTTTAAATTGTATAAAACAATTTCAAAAACATGTCAGCAACAATGTGGCTCACTGACAGCAGTGAAGCTCTATAGCACAAAGCAATAAGAGTAATTAATGAAATATAATTGTTAATGTACGCTTAATTTACTTTATGGATATCAGGCTTCATTAACTTGGTCTCTAACTCTTACAGCTGGATGATGAAAAGAAAGACGAAAACAACAAGAACATGGCGGAAGTAGAGGCAAGAAAAGTCTACCCCCACCAGGCCGGGGAAATAGATTATGCTCAAGGTCCACAGTATAACAGGGGCCATTTATTTCCAAGTACTCATGCGTTCAATCAAGATGAAAAAATATCCACCTTCACCCTGACCAACGTCGCTCCACAAATAACAGCATTCAATGGGGAAAGCTGGGGCAGAATGGAGAGGTGTGTCAAATGTGTTATGCAGAGATACTGCGCGGACAACAATGGTCGTAGACAAGCCTTTCTGGTGGTGGGAGCACAACCCGGCAACAACAATCTCAATGGCAGGGTTAATATTCCCACCCAGCTCTGGTCTGCCTTCTGCTGCTTCAGTGCCGAGAGCAACGCGTGGATAGCGAGTGCGTTCTGGGGCAACAATGTAGCAGATACACGTCCAAACCAACATATGCGCACCAGGACCCTGAGAGAGCTCAATGGTAACCTGAGAATTGATGCGTTTACTAACAGTAGGTGTCCTCTCGACACAACTGTTACTGGGCTTTACCCACAATTTGCAAACCAACGTGGCTGCGATTGCCCAACCTGAATTTAATCATGTATGCCCTTCCCATTTCAAGCTCTGCCCCTTTCACTCCCACATCTGGCCCTCTAGCTTCTACATTGGGCATCAATCTTATATTGTAGCCTACCCCACTGCCCCCTTTTTCTTTTAAGCTTCAATCTGAGCAAATTATTTACATTTTACTGTACTATACTTTTAGTGTAATTTCATTTGTTACAATGATAGGACACTGGATGAGTGTCCTTTGAATGGCTTCAGATGGAAGACACAAAGTAAATGTACATGATTTGTAAAATGTGAATGAAATAAACTGCAGAACAGCCTGACTGCAAACACTGTGTGTGAAGTGGTTATTTTATCTTTACAGAGAATGAATTACACACACATCCATCAAACTCTACACGACGACACCAAGAAGACAAAACTGGACCGAACCATATCGAACTTCATAAATGTTCAGTCACACTGTGTAATTCGGCAATAGTTCTTTACTCTTACTATTTAATATTGTGATTGTGACAAATGAGGTGGCTGCATTTTGAAACTAAGATGTCTGTGTCCTTGTTGTCAACATCAGGCAGTGAACAGGAAAAAATTACAGCCAAACCTTCTTCAAAAGTGCATAAACAGGATTAATGGGATATAAACAATGCCCTATACATCCCACGTCCATAAAGAAAGAAGTGGCTTGACTGACAGGGTGAAAGGGAGAGAATAACATAAACATACAAACATTGTACAGAAATCAATTTCAACAAGCACCTTCCTGTGGCAAGCAAATACCAGAATGAACATCTCTCACAGGCAGGTAGGTAAAAAAAAACAAAAAACGTCAAGTTAAAGTTTAAGTTTCTCTAAATGCTGCTAGGCACCATGGCTAACTTTTAAGTACAATTCCATCATTTATTTAAGACACCTACCTTGATCTGACCACTTGCCAATATTGGGTAGCATTTTGATTCATTTCAGCCATCTTGGCTGTGTGCTTTTTTTCTTCCTCTGATTAAACAGGGCCTATTGAAAAATGTGATGTATAACTCATTGTTTTGCAAAGTGTTCCACGGTAATGTTTAATTTAGTGTATTGTTTATACATATTTCATGGTCTTAATTCATACTTATGTATCCAAATGGATCAATCTTTGTATCAGGGTTTTAGGTATAAATGTCAGTTTTAGAGATACTTTGTGTTGCTAAAATTAATATAAATTAAATTACAGGTAAAATCAGCAGTCATATTTACATAAATGTATGGACTGTAACAAAAAACTGAAGGATATTTTGCGGAGAACTCTTAACACAAAGTTCATAAGGGTGAAAAAACGCTTTTACTAAATAGTGCCCAGATGTGGGAACAACCCCATTTTCATTCAGATTTGTTGAGATCAGAGGTCAAGACACCAAAAACATGTCTGCAACAGTGCGGCTCACTGACACCAGTGAAGCTCTATAGCACCATGGATTAGGATTGATTAATAAACTGAATTTTTAATGTACGCTTTATTTACTTTATGGATATCAGCCTTCATTAACTTGGTCTTAACTCTTACAGTTTGAGAACAGAGAGGGCAACAACAACATGGTGAATGTAGAAAGAAACAGAATCTACCCCAACCAGGCCGGAGACACTGATTACAGAAACAATGGACAGTTCAACAGGGGCCATTTATTTCCAAGCTCTCATGTGTACAGCAGATCTGACATCAGTCCACCTTCACCCTGACCAACATTGTTCCACAAGTAATCTCCTTCAATCAGGGAAGCTGGAACAAAATGGAGACGTGCATCAAACGCGTAATGGACAAATACTGCATCAACAACAGTGGTGCTATTGAAGGCTTTGTGGTGACTGGAGCACAACCCAGCACCAAAAACATCCTTAAGAACAAGATTAATATTCCCTCCATGCTCTGGTCCGCATTCTGCTGCTACAGCGTCAACATGAAGGAGTGGATTGCGAGTGTGCACTGGAGCGACAATGCAATAAAACAGACTTTTATTAAACCATATGTGAAATCCACCACCGAACAACTCAGTATAGGTTCTCAGACTGATCACTTCTACAATTACAATCCTGATTTTACTGATATATTCAATGTTTTTAATGGCAAATATGCACTATTGATCCCACATTAGACATTTGTTATCAACATTACATTTAAAGTGAAGAGTCTGAATGTGAATGAGGTGTTGTGTAAGTCCAACTGGGGGATTCATAGACATCCTGTGTGTGTGTGTGTGTGTGTGTGTGTGTGTGTGTGTGTGTGTGTGTGTGTGTGTGTGTGTGTGTGTGTGTGTGAGAGTGTAGATACACAACATGGCCAAAAGTATGTGGACACACCCCAATAACAGCCTCCACTCTTCTGGTTTCAGTCTGTCCACCATATGTTGAACCTGCTACAGGGATTTGCTCCCATTCAGGCACCAGAGCATCAGTGAGGTCCAACACTGGCTCACACTCGGTGCTCCAGTTCATCCCAAAGGTGTCGGATGGGGTCGAGGCTGTAGCCATGGGGTCTACAGTTGTTAAAAATATTTAAAGATCCCCCTCCAGACATTTATTAGAACATATACAAATAGTCTGCTTGGAACAATAATGTGTCTTATATGTTTCTTCCACAAAAAACAACATAATTTCCACGTTAAAATCCTTAAAAAGACATCTACTCATTCCACTTTAAAAAAAAACAGTTTTCACTGTAAATTCCAGGGTTGACTTTCTGAACTATTTGTTGTATCACAAATAATGCTCGTAGGCCCCATCCCTTAAAGATCAGATGTTCAATGAGCACAGAGAAACTTTCCACTTTCAGCAGATGAATGTGAAATCATCCTTCTCGTGTCAAACTCTGCACATACGTCATTCAAACATCACATAGTAGGAACAAGAAGAAAAATTAAATTAAAATATAATGTAATAAAGACATTAACGTTAGTTGAATTGTTTCCAGGTAACAATTTCCAGGAAACATACAGTAGCTATGATAGATGACATTAGTGATGGCTGATTGATTAGCACTCGCAAATCGGCTTGTTAATGCTGCAGCTTTTAAACAAAAAGTTACTTATTTCCACAATTACAGTTTGAGGGACGAACACAAACTACTGCCACAGTGTTTGACACTGTCTGAAATATCTAATACAGTCATCTGTTTTTCAGGTAGAGCAGTTGTGTTGAAAGAAAAAGTTTCAGCATTGTCGTTATCTACTGTCCTTCACACAGATGTATAATCAGTCATGCTATGTGAACAGCGAACAGGTTGTGCAGGGTTTAAGAAAGTTGGCCCTCACACCAGAGCTAAATATGTTCATATCAATTGTGTCTGACAGCAGCGACACATTTCTGATCTGCAACGTGACAAAAGATGTGTCTGTGTCTACGATCACATCTCGAAAGGAGTCTGCTCATATAAATCTGCATTGTCTTGGAAAACAACTCTCATTAGTCAAGCAATCACACGTCAAAACCGCCTCCAAGATGAACTGTTTCTAAATGTATAACGTGACCTTGTCTCTGTGTGTTAATTTTACTGACTGGTTGTCGGTTTTTTAAATGATGTTGTGTCTTATTTTGGTTAGCTAAAGATTAATTTCCACCTTGTTGGACAATAACGATTAAATTCTAAGATAAAATACCTGGCTGTGGCTCAGGAGGTAGAGTGGTAGGTCATAGACTAATCACAGGGTGGCAGGTTCAATCCCCGTCTTCACATGTAGACATGTTCTTGGACAAGAAGCTCAGTTTTCTTGCCTGGTAGCTCGCTGCCATCAGCGGGTGTATTTATGAGTGGGGAAACATTGTTTTTAATTTTTGGGATATTTTTGCTTTAAAAATGACCTACACGACTAGCAAAATTGTTGCTGATTAACTGTCTGTCAATGAACCAATCAGTTAATTGACATGCCAAGTGATGTAAATATTAAACGTAATAGCACATTTAAGGGAAAACATGACAAGCTGTCTTGAGAAAATCAAAATATACATGAATATACATGAAGACATATATACAGATCACAATATCTCTCTCACTCTTTTGTTGATGAACTGACTTTACCCGACACTTGTTCACATAAGCATGAGCCCGACTGATACATCAGCATGATATTTAGGCCAATATTAGCTTACCATGGATGTACTGACAACCTTTTTTTTAGCAGGGAGGACCCACAAAGACCAACATCTCTTTTAAAGGAGTACCTGGCAACAGCTCAAATGGGAATAAAAAATTACATATAAACTCTGTAAACTATCCCTACCCTTGTGTGCACACTTAAAAACAGTTGCAATTATATTCCTGTAGAAAACGACATATGATACCAAAGAGGACATCTTATCTTGAAAATGATTCAGAAATACTGTGGACCAATGAGGAACGAGCAACATGTGGTATGTGAAAAGGACAACAGAGTCCATCCTGTCACTCACACTCACACTCCAGGGAATCATAGAGTGATAAGGACAAACCCACATGATGAGAAAGTTTAAAACAAACATGTGGGTGGTGTGTGCTTTTTCCTCTAATCTGATCAGTCCCTGATATCAGTTTATCTGATCAGATGAAAACTGACCCCAGTGAGTGTGTTTTTCCTGTTTCTGTATGACAGCACTGAATCTGACCCCAGTACTGTTTTTCAAAGGTTTCTTTCTATAACTAATAAGAATTATAGCCTAAAACATGTAGAATTTGAACCCAGTTCCTTTAAAGCCAGGGATTCACATGTTAATATCTCCTTAAACTTTAGTGTAACACGATTGATTTTAAACTGCGTATATTAACATGAAAAGCTGTTTTCTAACAGCTAAAAACAGAATTTTAGTTAATTGTTTGCTTCACCGCACCCATGTGCACATATACAATGGTTTAACTTTCAGCTTTAAAGGATAAGTCTTGTGATATGATATATATCAATATCTAGACTAAACTAACAATAAATGTATCTACTAACATTTTAACTTATATAACAGCTGATCAAATTGTCCTATTGTTTTAATAAGACTTATTGGTTCCAGGAACTGTTTGTGTGTGTATGCAAGCTATTAGCCAGCTAAAACTACACTATTACAAAATATTTCACATGCATTTGTAAATGTAGGAGAATCCATGGCGACACTCATCAAATCCTTTGGATTATCCCAGACAATCCAACCCACAGAAGTCCACAGGCAACCGAGAAAGTCAGGGAGTCTAATCAAAGTTACAACCTGTTCACAAGTTGGCAATAAAAAGTGAATAATACATGGAAATGATATGTAAAGTACTTCAAATTCTTACATATGGCACCTTTTTTTAATTAAATGTTCTGAATCTATCAGATATTTATGGGTGTTTCACTGCCCTTAAAGCATTATCAAATCAGCATTGCATGGTCTGGTTTTGACTTTGTAAATCAATACAAGAATTAATGTGACCTACAACTGCTAAACAAATACAAAATACAAAGTAGTTTTTAAATGTGTAATAATAATCACAGTTCATCAAAATCATTACATCTAAATTAAAAGTGTCACACATGAAGAAATTATGTCAAATTAAATTACTAATCAATTAAATTAAGTCCCTTGTAACTCCTGCTGTCTATAAAATGTCAGAAAATAGTAAATAATGCTATTATTACTTATATTTGATAAGCTTGAACAAAGCTTGAAATTTTTGATTGATGCATAAATGATTAATTATGACAATTGCTGCAACTAATCAACTAACTGCAACTAATCACTCAGAACAAACTACACACTTGTATATATGTGGAAAAAAACCCTTATAGCACAGCACAAATAAGTCATATAATGAATATTATATAGCCTTAATCAGAGACTACACAAGACGTGCTGGAAGTTGTGAGTTTAAGCAGAGCTTCAGACTTTGACATCAACAAGGCAGGTGCCCGTTATGTCCCTGAAGGCGCTGCAGTCGAAGTCTGCCACCACAGTCTTCTGTCCGGCTTTGTAGGGGAACGTTGAGATAGCAATCTGCATTGTCTTTTTTGGCTCCAACTCTGTAAGCGTGCTGATAACACACAGAAACAGGGTACACGGTTAAATTCTGAACTTTTGACTTGCCTAAATAAAGCCTTCCATAAAGTCATCCAAATCAGTCTGTTTCAAGTAATTGCATGATACCTTCTGAGAATAACTAGATTGCTCATGGATTGTAGATTTCAACCTGGTAAACTGAAACTAACCCTTTTACACAGTCGTCTTTGAAAAGACCTGATCCGCAGATAGTCAGGGAGCAGTTTCTCAGGGTCTCGTTGAGTGGGTTTTTAAATTTCACCACCATATTCATTTCCCGGTACAGACGGGCCTCACCCAAAACCTGAAACACACACATACAGAGCACACTATTAATTCACTTTACAGACACACAGGTGTATACACACACCCTTACTAAGCCACAGCATCTTAGAAGTTAACGTACAGTAAGTCATTCAGGTGTAAGCTGAATGACTGTGCCGTTAGTTTGTCAATACTTTTGTCCTGTTGACAAGGCGCAGCTACTGAACGGAGGTTACCGTTTGTTTTTCTGCAACTATCCAACTAATTAAAAGTGAGTTGACTAACAGTCTGCTAGCATCATGATGTAAGCATTTAGCTAAAATCAACACCCAATCAACACATGTCAAAGTACAACCTCACAGAGCTGCTAGAATGGCTAGAGAGTATGTGCTAGCCTTCACTGACCAGTAGCGGCATAGTAATATGGACTGACAGAACCTGTTTTTGTGCTGTTACTATCTTTGCAGATGACACTGTGCACATGAAACATGGTCAGTGTCTTCTTTTCAGGTCTCTCAATCAATCACTCCTTGCAGCTCTATGTAATAAACATCAGAAGATGTCACTGACCTCTATAGTGACGGGAGGGCACACCAGGACGATGTCAATCTCAGTCTCATAGATGTCATCGTCCTGCTTACTGTCGGTGGCCACGGCTGAAACCTTCACACTGTCACAGCCCCGCATGTATTTACCGTAGACTGAGAATGGGATCTGAATGGGAAGTATCTCATCTGTGGGGCACAAGGTGGCCAAAAAGTAAAATGTACTGCACATCACCATGCATATTGTGTGGCGTGAAACAGGAAAGCTTTGGATTCAGTTTTATATTCTGTTTTTGGATTCAAGGTGAAGTTTGCTAAATGGGACCTGTAAGTCTGAATTCAAACAATAGCAACTTTTTATAGCATTGAAATACCACCAATATTAGAATGTTTTTTAATTGGATGGTGAGAAAATGTCATCAAAACACAAAAATGGGTTTAAATTGAACATAATATTGAGCCAAAGTTTAACAGAATAACTGCAGACCTTGTCCAGACTGTAGCATCTTCTCTTGGATGGTGCTATACATGTTGTGTACTGGTGTGCCATTGTAATTCATGGCCTGGGCATTGACACGGATTGACATTATCCGATAGGTACTATCTTTGTTGCTCAGCTTCAGCTTCAGGTGAATGTCCTCACCACTCTGCGTCTTGTGCTCCTGGTGTAGAAACCAAAGAAAGAGGTTGGTGATGTTTAAAATAAAAATAAAACTATAAGCAATTTTGGACAGCCTTTCCTTACTGCCCCAATTGTTTGTTTGGTTTTATGGATAAAGTATCTTGTTGAAACCTTTCTGTTGTGAAGTTGAAAATTGTTATTTATCTATCTCTGTTCTTATCTCCACCAATTGTTAGAATGACTTCTGACCAAAGCTTAACTTGGAAAATAAATCTCGCCTTCTGTTGCTAAACTATGTGGTTTCGATTACAGTTCAAGTACTGGCAGCTACTGGGTTTGCCACATAGAGGTTAGCGTAGATGCTAGCATCAGTTATATCAGAATTTTTCTTCATTGAATAAAGCCCAAACAACAACAATAAAGGCTTTCTCTACAGAAAAGATGGAAGCCTGACTGGCTATAGTTCTTATACTTCATAAAAAGGTTCAGTGATCTGATTGGTTGAAGTTCATCCATTCCATCCATCAAGTATTTTTCTAGTTCCACCCCTTTTCCAACAGTTTCCAATGACTTCCCAGGTTAGGTTAGCCAAGGCTTGGTATGGTTAAAAATGTTCAATACTAGCACTGACATGACTCCTGGCTTATATTACTACCAAAAAAAATTGTGTTTACGATACTTTGTCATGAAGAGTAGTACAGACATTCATGTTTTCCAGACAATGTAGGACGTAAATGTTGGTAATCCACTGACTTCTTATGTAGCACCATAATCAGGGAAAAATTTTACTTTCTGACCAAATACCTTAAAAAAGTCTTTAATTTGTGTTCAGTGCTAATTAGAGAATGTTAATATGCTAACACACTCAACATTGTAAACTTGGGCGCCCGGTTAGCTCAGTCGGTACAGCTGGCAACCCATGTATGGAGTTGCTGCAGCAGCCCGGGTTAGAATCCGACCTGCGGCCCTTTGCTGCGTGTCATCCCCTCTCTCTCTGCCCCCCTTTCCTGTCTATCTTCAGCTGTCACTATCCAATAAAGGCAATAAATTGATATCAGGCCATACTTCTTGCTGACTTGGAAAGCCTGTTTGGATAGGAATTACTTATCTACAGGAATAACTTCAAGCCACAGATGTTTATCATATCATGGAATTTGCACGTTCCCACCTTTTATTATAAAGTTGCAAATTTCATAAAACATCAGATTTTACCTGTTTGAATTTCATCTCCACCTTCAGTGGCTCCTCTCTGCTCTCATCCCCTTGACCATCTCCGGAGTTCACTCTGTTTAGAGCACGTCTGAAGACTGCCCTCTCATTTGCACTGCCTGTTTGGAAAATACCAACCATTCACTTGAGTCTAGGCACAATGAAGTAGGGCTGCCCCCTAATAGTCGACTTAATGGTTAGTCGCTGAAAAGAATCTCACTTTTCATTTGGTGGTCGGTCGCAGAAAATAAAAACGTCACAGCAATATCTTACTGGTGTCCTGTTACATATGCTATCTGTTCTAGCTGCTGCCCAGTTAGCAAGTTAGCGGCAGCTCAAAGGCCTATGTGTAGTTCACATGAAGCTGTCTCTCATGGTTTGTCCTTGTTTCCTCTATGTCTAAGATGACTCAGTTGCTGTCTTTTTATGAGGAGCTAACAACAAACTCAACTATTTCATATTCAGAAGATAGACATTGGGTGAAGTATTGCTTTAAGGATGCAGTCTTTACCTTCTCTGGGTTTGTAGCTGTCTGTGATATCATTTCTTGCATTAGTGTAGCCAACAGCCTTGGTGGAGATGTACTTCCCCACTGTCCTGGTGTCTGAATGCATTTTCCTCTTTTTACCATTCCTACCCATCTGAGAACAGAAAAATAACAAACAAAAATAATTTTGGCATTATTTTCTGCAAGATGAATCGAGATAAATCTAAAAATAAAAACCTTCATTAGTATACTGATGTTTATATACGTAATAATTATTAATTCCTACCCCACAAGAAAAGTTAATTCTTATAAAGTGGTTGTAAGTTTGTATGTTATAATAACGTAACCTTTCACGTTACAACAACTTATGTTATAACATGGACCATTTCACGTTATTACATTACGTATTGTTGTAACAAGAAAAGGTTCTTTTTTAAACATGATGAGTTTGTATGTTGTGATAACGTGAAACATCTTGTAATAACAAACATTTCACACTATACTGATCCGATGGATTTTCTGGCATGGCAGCAATACGTTTCCAATCAAAAATGATTACTGGGAACTGGAATTTCAAATGTAGATTCATGTCATAATAACATTGTGTTGATGTTAAGGCACTGACCATCCACCGGACAATGTCAGCGTTGACCTCTGCAAAGACAAATGGCACGTCATACTTCAGGTTGGCCTCGCCCTGGCAGATGGCTTTGACTGGGGCTGGACCACAGCAGAATACCCCTGGGGCAAGAAAAAGTCTTTTAATGTTCACTTATACAAACTTTTTACAAGACTGAACCAAGGGTTGAATCTTGTCCAAGTTTCAGTAAAAAGGTGTTATTAGTATTGTAGGTATTCATTTGTGAATCTGTCGGAGTGTGTTTATTTAAAAAAAAAAAAACCTTCGCTCTTTTCCTGTGGAGTGGGATCCAAGACTTGCCAACCGTCATAGCTGTCTCCTTTCATGAGGTCTGGTCGTTTCATCCATCCCTCCACCCACACATGGAAGTTCCTGCATTACACAGATACAATTCTCAGTCTCCCAGTCCTCTGGGCGTCTGATTGACTTCTAGGGTGTTACTAGGTGGTTTCTTTAATGTTCCTGATTATTGTTAAGGTGCTGTTATTAGTTGCAAAGTGGTAAGGGTGTTGTTTGGTGATTGCGAGGGTGGTTGAGATGGTTGAAAAAGTGTTAGAAATAGTTCATTGGTTGGTAATTGGGGTGTTGGCTCTGTAGAACTTCTTGTTGGCTTCTTGTAATGTTGATGATCAGAGAATTTTTCTTTTAGAACTGTAGGAACTCTTCTTTGGAAAGGACGCCTCCTTAATGGTCTAGTTTGTATTCAGTGTTTGCACATAGTGGATTTAGTAAATGCAAAATTACTTTGCTTTCTAAGATAATCTATCTGAGGAGCTGAAGCAATGGGGAATGCAATGGTCAATTGTTTGCAGACCTACCATTGCACTATTTCCCTTGTTAGGCCAAATTACAGTAAACTCAGCAGGAACCGGCTGTCGAATTAGGGATAAGATAATGATGCCATTTCATTGAATGATTTGAATCAGAAAGCAAAGACAAATGGCAGCAAAGTGAGTGGTGCATTCATCCAAACGGATGGTCATATTGATACTGTTTAACTGAGGACCGGTGGTTGTGGTCTTACAATTGCTAGACCACAATGGCAGAAGCAGAAGTTATGGGTTTGCACACTGAGTGGCTTAAAGCTTTTCTGTTGCTTTGGAGAAACCCGCTGTTTGAAACAGCCCTACAGAGACATCATCAGAACAATGAAAACGATAATACTCATTCTAATAACTTCACAATTAACATCTTGTAATAAAAATATTGTTGTTTTTACCAGACAGAGTCTGCGCCTGTCTTGGATGTTAGTCCATGTTCATCATAAAACTCATCAATAGTGAGGCTGTTGTTTGTGTCATGAGCTGACTGGAAGTTTGTGACAACGCGACATGGGATACCCAGGAACCGCATCACTGGAATCATAAACACAATTAAAAATGCTCAGATACAAATATTAATGCATTCAAGGCAATGATAAAGCCAACAGTGTCTTAGTCCTGCTAAGATTTCATGGTGATGCACTTGAATTTGGCAGCATGTACAGTACCTGTGCACATCACACCAGCAAACACCCAGCACTGTCCATACTTGACTCCTTTGCAGTAACTGCCATACCAGATCCGGAGGATCTTAACGCTGCCGTTCCAGTGGGTGGGGGGTATTCCATCACTATAGGGTTCATTCCAGCGTCCCTCTAACACGCCGTGATCACCGTTAGAGTTTATCTGGAGATTAGATAAGCGCAAGATGTAAGGCTCTGCTATTTGAATAAGGATCTGTGCCCTGTATATTGGTTCCAGATGAGTAATTGTTACATAATGGGAATAAAAGTAATAAAACCGCAGCTGAAAAGTACTCACTGCTTTCAGTCATACTTAGAATCGTCTTAAAAGTGTGTGGTCCTACCATTGCGCTGACCACACGGCTAACATAGATGGGGTTACAGCGAGCAGAGACGTCAGCAGCTGGGTCTCTTAAGTATTTTGGGTTGACATCCAACATCTTGAGACAAATGTCCACCATGTCCTCCTCAAACTAGGTAGGGAGACATAAATAAGAATTACCACTTGACTAAAGTACCAAATTATCCATGGTTGCCCCATCAGTATGTGTGTAAGGTTCATGATGTACTTGCTTTTTACTGATGTGTAAACTTGCAAGAGTGATGTGCTGTTGTTTACATACTTGCCTGTGCACTTCCCCGGAGGATTAAATATACATCCATTTCAGGGCGAATTTGGGTTCAATCATTCAACGGTTTAAAATTACTATTTCATAAATGTTCGCAAACATTTGAGTCATATGTCAAAGTCAGGTGTTTGATTGACCTATCCATCCATCCCGACCTCCTTTAGAGTTTAGACTCTAGTTATGAGCAACCAAATCAGAAAAACCATTAATCAACCTTCAAGTTGTAATAGTGCTTTTGTTCCTGAGAGTCATAATCTAGATAGAGGTAATCTTAAACTTACTAGGTTGTTTTTAGGTATTTGAAGAAATGACAAATGCTTCAGTTTTTTATGTGATGACAGCATTCATTTCTTAAACCAAACAACTAACATTAAACACAAGACAGTCATAATGTAAAGTTAAACAGAGCATCCATCAGATGGCTCACCTGTCCAAATATCCAGGGGCTGGAACAGATGCCATCTGACGTTCCTTTCCAAATATATCCATCTTCATTCATCACATATTCTTGTCTCTCCCTCTCATCAGGAAGATACACCCAGTCATCTGCAAACAAACACATCCAATGCTAAAATCTGTAAACCAGTACACACTGATGTGACCTCTTTGTACAGTTCTCCCAGAGGTCTTTACATCTAGCAGCTTTTTGTCACTTGAAAAACATCAGAAGTGAGATATTTTAAGACAATGTGCAGCCAGTTGTAGGCAACCTACGGCTCCAGAGCCACATGCAACTATTTAGCCTCTCCCCAGTGGTTTGGACAAACAACGTATTGGAAATGAATGATGAGACCTGTGGTAGTGAAGCAAGACTGGCAGGGTCAGGTTTGAGTGGAAGTGTCATGAAGAAGTACTTTTTGAGTCAGTGCTGCAGTAACGCTACCTACCTGAGCACCAGGGGTTGAAGAGCACCACCAGAGTTCCCAGAGTGTTTGATTCACAGTCGACCGTTGCAGACAGCGAGTACTTCCCCACAGGCGCGTCGACTGGCGGGGTCACGCACAGGGTCACAATGCCCCTCTGCAGGTTGGCGTGCTGGTCAATTTTGTACTTCCATATCGCCTTCACATCACTGGTATACATGGGAGATGGGTTACCAAACTCAGACCTGGTCCCACATCTTTCTGATGGAGAAGGACCTGATATAGAAGGTGGGTGGGGTTAGAGGAGAGGGGATAAATGTTTCTTTTTACTTTCTTTATCTTTGTCATTTGTCTTTGTCATTCTTCTTCCTGGAGCAGCTTGAAGAAGCAACAGTTAAGCCCTGAAGTGACCAGCTGGACAGCTTCCTACCTTTTAAACCCTCAATCATAGGACATCTACTTCCTTAACGTAAGCCAGTGCAGTATCAGTTAAGAATAGAAAGGCACACTACTAGCACAGGAGGAGGTTATCGTTATCTGATATTTTAGGAGTGATTGTTTCACAAAAGATTATATCACATGCTCTGTGAATATAACTTGTGTTCAGGTCTTTAAAGTTTAGATCTTAAATAATTGACTAAACTTTAAAACTGTGTACTTCACAGAAATGAAATCCCAAAAGAAATTCTGAGATGTAGATGTAGGCTGAGATATAGTTATTTAAAAAAGGTTTTCTTTACACCCCTCAAAAATGAGGATGGCCTAGTGGCCCCCATGAAGCTTTGACGACCCCTAGTGGGTGTCCCGAGACCTAGGTTGGTAACCACTGATCTAGAAAAGTATTTACGGACAGTCCCACCATGACCAAGCACTTGGTGACAGTGGCAAGGAAAAACTTTATTAACAGGTTGAAACCTCAAGTTGTTTTTTTCTTTTGGCAACTTAAACAAAATGTTTTCCTAAAATTTTAAACTCTCAGTGTGACATAACCTGTTTAAAATAGTTCCAAACTAGTATATATAATGGTGTATGATAATCTACCTGTTTCCACAGTAAGGGTGAGTGGGTCATAGGCATTGAAAGGTCGCGTCAGTTCCAGGGTCAGGACGAAGGACTGGCCCCGCCTCACAATCAGCTGCTTTGTTGTAATTTCATCGGTGTGATGGGCAGTGTTGTTAGACTGGCAGTGGAAGTCCACGTTCTTAATCCCTACAAAACACAAATGCAATAAAATCACACAAACAGAATTACAATGAATTCATTCAAACTTCTTGCACAAACTATTTATCTTTAATTTTTAATCTTTTAAGTTTGCATATGTACAGTTTAGATTAGTTTTTCAACAACTGCTCAAATATTTTGCACACCATGTAACTGCATATTGCATATAGTGAATATATTTCCATTTATAGTCTTATATTTCTATTATATTTTGTTAATATTCTTATTTTAGTCATTCTTATTGTACTCTTCTGTACTCTCTGCACTACATTCCCCTATGTTGCTGTGACTGACTTGAATTTCTCCTACGGGGATCAATAAAGGTACATCTTATCTTATACATTTTTATTATTGTGTCATTAATACAACTTAAAAGACACCATAGATTCATGTTTTTCACATTGAAACCTTAATCTAAACTTTAAAACAACAAAACGAGACAGTGTTTTAAGTTGAGCCATGATGATAAATTACATTAACATCCCTGTATATTGTAATATGCCAGCATTTTTATTGAAGATAATATTACAATAGTAGTGTCTAGTATTTGTAAAGTTTTGAAAACTGGCACCAGCTGACATTTCCTAATGACAACTGTGCTTTGTGTTCCCTACCCTCAAGAGGATGTGTTTACAACTTTTCAATTAAAAAAAAATAATCAAACATTTTTATTTATCCAAACTTTGCATACAACCGTAAAATTAACCACAATTTAAAATATGTTTTAATTAGCACGTTATAGAAAGGATAAATGAAAATGTAATGCTTTTATTGCTTTGAGTTAATAAAATAAAAAGGATTGAAATGCAATCTTATCTATTTTAACCTTGGTTAACTTGTGAAGACTCTGTTGACACACTTAAGCTTCCATACTTTCGTCTCTAAAAGATATAAAAGATAAGTAACATTTTCATGTATAAACTCTGATCACAATGATAAAAATAAAATGTCTTTCAAATCTAAAATAAATATTTTGTTCATGTTTCTACCTTAAGAAATATTTTGAATGACAGTTACTGTATTAACTTACATAATCTTTTTTCAGCTGAGGTTGTACAGATTTTAGGGACATGAATCATTTCAGTATATTCAAAGAAACAATAACAAACAATACCAATGTAGGCACTGACGGACCATTTCTATTACAGAGTTCAAAGGGTTAAGAAACAAAACGTTCCATTGTTTTTGTGTGTAAATGATAGTTCAGCCTGACTCTGATATAATGAGCTCCTGTATGAAATGTAATACTCACTTGTTGCCATCTTGTCAGTGTTTGCAGTGAGTCGTTCTTCTTTCTGCAGCAGCTTGAAGAAGCAACAGTTCAGCACTGAAGTGACCAGCTGGGCAGGCTCCTGCCTTTTAAACCCTCAATGATAGGACATCTACTTCCTTAACGTAAGCCAGTGGAGTATCAATTAAGAATAGAAAGGCCTACTAGCACAGGAGGAGTGATTGTTTCACAAAAGATTTTATCACATGAATTCTTTTTGCTGCAGGCGCCATCAGACTCATGGATCACTAGCACGCATGAACAGTATTCACTAATGTCCCAAAGGATGATAATGTTGTCTGTCAGCATCACATTCAACTGTCTGCCACATGCAGCTAAATTCCCTTTTTTACACTGAAAACACTCAGAATCAGAAATACTTTATTCGTTAGTTATTTAAGGTGCTCAAAAGACATTAAACAAATAGAAATAATAAAAATAACATTAAAATATGTTATATTACAATATCTATAACCAAAATATATAGAAAATATAAAAATATAAAACAGATATAATAGGAGTCTTAAGTATGTGCATTATAATACAATAAATAAAGGAGAAATATATGTATGCTACAGTATATGACAAGTGTAATGAATAAATAATAATAAAAGGTGAATCCTTCAAAAATTGCAATATTGATATTAATAAATACATAAATATTCAGTGTAGTTTACTCTTTCACCCTCCTATTCCAAGCGCATAGGAGGTTCAACCTCGTGGACTCCATAGAAGGTAACCTGATTATATACTAATTGAAACATACTTATGAATATTATATTCCATTTCTGACGATAGATCCTCCTAAATGTTACTCACTGGACCTTTAAAACCACAATATTTCCTTTTTTAGATATAGGAATGTGTCATTGTTGCAGACAGGTTAGAAAGTTCGTTTCAGACAAACAGACACAGGATCAGGCTTTATCGATAGAGCAGAACACACCAAGTCTCTAATCGGATGAGACGAGACAGAAATCAGATGAGATGTGATCAGAGGGCCTCAGTTATCTTCCTGAAGATGATATAGTAAGGTGAGATCAGGACAATTGTCACGAACATGTTAAGTGATCATTTATCAAACATGAACGTTTTAATAACAAATCATCCTGGTTTCTATGATAAAACTGCTATAATGTAAATAAAGGTGTAGAGAATATGGTATATGTGATTAAACTCATACGTATCAACACTAAGTGAACTGTTGCTTTGGACTGCTTACTTAAATACAGTATTACAATGACTGAATGCATGATTTATATTGGATTGATACTCATGTTACTGAACAACATAATTTCATTCTAAAATAGACTGATGTCTTCTCATAAGAACTCGCTATGTACTGTAAAAGGAGCATTGCTGATAAAGAGCAGGTCCTATAAGACTATCTGCAGCTGCAAAAATAAATCGAGATTTTTTTTTTTCCATAGAAAGATGTCTGTTCTGCTTCACCTCACCTACACCGAGTTGACATTAATCCTCAGTCTGCACAGCATTTACTTTCTCCACCAGTCTGACTGACAAATGGTACAAATATCTGTGTAGTTACCAACCACAGAGCCACTGCTGCCTCCTGGTGGTCTGACCATAGAAAATATAATTATTATAAAATGCTGAAACAGGACTGTTGCTGCCACATTTGTCTCATACAATACATTGTACTATTGAGATAATATAATGTATCTTATCTTAAATGTTCATTAATAATGTTTAATTAAATCACTTCACACACAGTGTTTACAATCAGGATTTTTCTTTCTTTTGTTTTTTATCTTATTCAAATTTTATAAATCATGTACATTTGGTGTCTTCCGGTTGAAGCATATAGCAATAAAATAATAAGGGGGGGGGGTAAGGTCTTTTTCCCATTAATCATCCGGATGCTTGCGGTCACTGTCGTCTAATTTACCCCACCAGATGTTTACAATGAGTGGGCCAGAGGTTGAGGTGGGAGGGCCAGATGTTGGAGTGAGAGGGCCAGATGTTTGGGTGAGTGGGCCAGATGTTGGGGTGGGAGAGCCAGATGTTGAGGTGGGAGGTCCAGATGTTGAGGTGGGAGGGCCAGAGGTTGGAGTGAGAGGGCCAGATGTTTGGGTGAGTGGGCCAGATGTTGAGGTGGGAGAGCCAGATGTTGAGGTGGGAGGGCCAGATGTTGGAGTGAGTGGGCCAGATGTTGAGGTGGGAGGTCCAGATGTTGAGGTGGGAGGGCCAGAGGTTGGAGTGAGAGGGCCAGATGTTTGAGTGAGTGGGCCAGATGTTGGGGTGAGAGAGCCAGATGTTGAGGTAAGAGGGCCAGATGTTGAGGTGGGAGAGCCAGATGTTGAGGTGGGAGGGCCAGATGTTGGAGTGAGAGGGCCAGATGTTTGAGTGAGTGGGCCAGACGATGGGGTGAGAGGGCCAGATGTTTGGGTGAGTGGGCCAGATGTTAAGGTGGGAGAGCCAGATGTTGAGGTGGGAGGGCCAGATGTTGGAGTGAGTGGGCCAGATGTTGAGGTGGGAGGTCCAGATGTTGAGGTGGGAGGGCCAGAGGTTGGAGTGAGAGGGCCAGATGTTTGAGTGAGTGGGCCAGACGTTAGGGTGAGAGGGCCAGATGTTGAGGTGGGAGGGCCAGATGTGGGGGTGGGATGGCCAGATGTTGAGGTGGGAGTGGAAGAAGTGGTTGAAATGGAGGGTGAACAGTGACAGTCATTTATTTCTGGGTAAAACTCAGTAACAGTTGTGCGGAGAGGACAATGAGTTCCAGGAAACACTTTAAATTCAGAGTCTGCTGATCTCAGCTGTTGATGGAGTTCTTCCAGAGTCTTGGCTTGCAGATATTTGTTTTTAGGTTTATCTGGAACATTCTTGCTCCAGTGCGCACTCGCAATCCACTCCTTCATGTTGACGCTGTAGCAGCAGAATGCGGACCAGAGCATGGAGGGAATATTAACCTTGTTCTTGAGGATGTTTTTGGGGCTGGGTTGTGCTCCAGTCACCACAAAGCCTTCAATAGCACCATTGTTGTTGATGCAGTATTTGTCCATTATGCATTTGATGCACGTCTCCATTTTGTTCCAGCTTCCCTGATTGAATGAGCTTACTTGTGGAACGATGTTGGTCAGGGTGAAGGTGGACTTTTTATCTGTTTTGTTGAACGCATGAGAGCTTGGAAATAAATGGCCCCTATCGAACCGTCCATTGTTTCTGTAATCAATGTCTCCGGCCTGGTTGTTGTAGGTTTTGTTTCTTTCTCCAAGCATCATGTTCTTGTCATCATTGTATTCAAGCTGTAAAAGTTAAAGTCTGAGTTACAGATGCAGGTAGAATAGTCAATAAAACAATACAGGTAAAATGTCCTTCAATTAGGAAATTTAGATGAGGTCCGAAAGCTGGCAAACATCTCAAGCAGTTCGTCACAGTGTCATGGGACAAACATCCATAGGTGGTCTTATATGAGTGGGTTAATGCATGTGAGCCAAATCCCCTTTCGTCTCATCTTGACCAGGGTTAAACATGGGTCAAACACTAACATCCTGCACAAACCACGCTATAGCAACTTGCACCCCAAAATACAATTTTACTATGTGTTTATTAATAGTCTGTTACAAGTAAAAAATAAAAACACACCTGTGGCTCTATCTTCCAGTTGTTTGGAGGTCTCCTACTTTCTCCCTTCCCTCTGTACTTGTAAGCAGAAAACACTGGAATCCTGTTCTTGGTGTCGTAGAGTGTCAGAAACTTTCTGTCATTATTGTAAGTCTGGCAAATGGGTTTGTACCGGTTCTGGTCCTTGATGTTCCGGCCCTCCAAGATGCCTGGGAGCTCTGGTGGAGCTTTCTCAAGGAGAAACTGGTCACAGTCTGACACCTCCTTTACCACCTCAGCCACTGTGAGAACAGCTGACAGGAAGAGGAAGGCAGCGAGGAACCAGAGAGACCTTGTCTTCAGTGATTCCATCTTCAAACACTGTATTGTTAACTCAGAGAAGAGAACAACAGGTTGCAGTTAGACAATGCAATTATTTTCATTTCCAGCAGCTGGTGGAGAGTTCCTGCTTTTAAACTTGTGTGCATTGCGCATTCCACTAACACAAGCAACTTTAACTGAGCACAAGAGCAAGCTTTGGATTTCGCCACCTGTTGATGCGGTGGGTACAGGCTGTAGTAAGAGCTACACTACACACTCTAGCCTTTTCAAAACAAAAGCCACAAGAGCAAAAGTATAATGTATGGATGTGTAGCTAACAACATACAGTACCTACCTAAGCCAAGGAGCATTTTAATAGTCTTAAACCTGCATTCTGTGTAATGGCCAGCAGGGGGCAGCTCCATCGGCTGCAATACAAAGCAATACAATGCAGTCTTATGGAGAAATGAGCCGACTTCTCACTTCATTTATTCTGACTTCTCACTTCATTTATTAGCTCAGTAAACAGTTTCCTGGTGAGTTTGTGGTCTCAATTTGAAGCCTTCTTCCATACAGCATGACATTCATTTCTTAAATTATGGTCCCATTTAAAGTGAAACTCATTCTCTGTTAGTCAAATCAAACTGTCAAACTAAGCAGTGCTGATCAAATATGTATCCCGATTCTGTTACTGCGTTGACTCTTTCTCACCTAAAATCTGGGATACGAGATTGTGTGTGACCAGGTGAGCCACCATTGTTTCCTGCTACGGACGAGCCAAAACCTCAACTCGCAGTATGTCACCTCCTTGGATTTGAGGAGCTGTACACTCTAGAAACGCCACCCATTGTTATCCAGGATAAAGTAAAGCCAAACACTGTCTTCACTTCTCTTGAACTGTTAAAATGTAAAACTACTGTAAATGTCTATGGTAAATCTGCCACGTAAACTGTTGTTGTTTGGCAGCCATAGTAACAGTAACTAAGTGGGTTGGGCTTTGCTTACTTGATGTCTAATGGAAGATGCATGGAGTTGTTGGTTATGATTCTTCTTACACCCACTCAGTTAAAATTACATTACAATACATTCTCAGTAGCTGGTTTCAACACATTGAAATTACTAAATGGTTGATTCAGTTTATCTATTCCAACATAAAGTACAGAAAATAAAACCAACCATGCTAAAAATAGATGCTAAACCTGAACAAGAATGATCTATAAAAACAATTCTAGTCTGTTTAAATGGTTGATGTAATCATTTTACTTTTAGAAAGTTTACAGTGAAAAGAAAAGAAAATGATATATTGCAAGAATAATTGTATGTGCAGAAAACGTTTTTGTTAAAATTTAACAAGCATTATAATAATTATATCAATTCAAACTGTAAAACAACTTCATAAGAATATAAAAATAACAGATGTCCTTCTGTATAAAAATTAATACAATTTAAATATAAACAGGGGAAGATAAAACTCACCACCTCATGCACAGTCTTCCCAAAAATCTTCTAAAGGGTGTCTTTGTGTGTATACAGCAGTGGAAACCAGACAGACTTCCTCATTTGTCAAACTTTCGGGGGAAGTGTGACTTATATTGAGCGTTCAGCAGTTTATGACAGTGGGGAAAAGGATGTGCGAACACTCAGTAATAGATTACTCTTTTCCTATACAGAGCTCGGCAGCACCATGCTTCACATTCACACAGTACTTCAGTTCAGTTCAAACTGACAAAGAAACCCAAAGTTACTTTACTTAATGAGCAGAAAAAAGGATGAATTTGATGAAAAGAAAACCTTTTCCTTACTAGAAGATGTAGAAATAAAGAAGCCATGCTAGCAGCTCTAGATATACCTTTACTGAAGTAAAGTTTGCAATCTTACAACAAATAAGTGTAAGTATTAGTGCAGTGCAGTAAAATGATCCAGTGTTTTATTTCTGATATTTTTGGATTAATATCACTGCTGTATTAATGTGTATGTTGCATTTTACTGTTGTAACTTTAATGTTGAGCTCATTTTAACTACTTTATACACTGTTGGGTAGTTTCATCTACAGCAATGCATCATATTCTCCAAGAACAGTCCTGTTTTCTACCTAATCAAAGATGTTTTTTAAATAGTTTATTTAGCTTGAGAAGTTGGAGAATTTTCTCAACCCATAAAGCAACACTTCATCCTTCAGTTTATCACAAACATTCAACATCAACACATCTGAAGATACGTGGTTTTCACTGGACAGGAAGAGTACCAAATCTGGAAAGTAACTAAAGCTATCAGACAAATGTAGTGGAGTAAAAAGTACAATATTTCCCTCTGAGATGTAGATATAATGTTGTATAATATGGAAATATTCAAGTAGAGTAGAAGTACCTTGAATCTGAAATTCAGTATTTACACAGTGTGACTGACCATTTATGAAGTTGGATATGGTTCAGTACAAACTGAAATATACAAAAATGACACTAGATGGCGCTCTGGGGCCACAGTAAATAAAGGGCTCAGACAGTCTTTAAAAAAAAAATCTTCAGAATAGATCAATGTCGTCCTGTAGAGTTTGATGGATGTGTGTATGTGTATTAATTCTCTCTAAAGATAAAATAACCACTTCACACACAGTGTTTGCAGTCAGGCTGTTCTGCAGTTTATTATAATTATTTTACAAATCATGTACATTTACTTTGTGTCTTCCATCTGAAGCCATTCAACGGACACTCATCCAGTGTCCTATCATTGTAACAAATGAAATTATACAAAAAGTATAGTACAGTAAAATGTAAATAATTTGCTGACATTAAAGCTTGAAGACAAATTATTTTCTATTTGTGCAGGTTAGCAGATTATCAAATATTCACAAAATGTTAATCAATTCAATAACTGTATAATCACAGATTGAATGCTGTTTGATTCTCCCAATTTTCACCAAAGTTATATACTCATACAGGGAGAAACCCCCAAAAAACTACTTTCATATCTCACAAATGTGGTGAAGTGAGAGGCAGATATAGAAGCGAATGGGCAAGTAGATGTGGCAGGACAAAATATAGAGGGTCAGATGTGGTTAATCTGATCTGCAGATTTTTGGGCAGGCTTTAATCATTTTATCAGTCACAGATTTAGTGAGAGGACACTGTTTGTCAAACACTTGGGCGTTGTTAAGTTGTTGATGGAGTTCTCCAAGTGTCTTGATCGGGAGGTTATCAGATTGATCCACATTGTTGCCCCAGTGTGCAGCCGATATCCACTTCTTCGATTTGGGGTTGTAGCAGCAGAATGCGGACCAGAGCGTGGAGGGAATATTAACCCTGTTGTGGAGAAAGTTATTGGGGCTGGGTTGTTGGCCCACCACCACAAAGCCGTCGCTCTTGCAGTTATGATCCATAAGACATCTGATGCACTTCTCCATATTGCTCCAGGTTTCCCTATTGAATGTGACTTCTTGTGGAACGATGTTGGTCAGGGTTAAGGTTGATGTTTTGTCAGATTTGGTGGACGCATGAATGCTTGGAAATAAATGGCCCCTGTTATACTGTGTGCTTGTAGTGTAATCAGTGTCCATGGCCTGGTGGTCGTAGGTTTTGCCTTTTTCTTCATCTGCCATATTCTTATTCTTGTCAGCTTCGTTCTCAAGCTGTAAGAATTAAAAACCAAGTTAATGATGCAGACAGAGTATCCATAAAGTAAATTAAATGTACAGTAAAAATGCAGTTTAATTCATCAATCTTATTCCTCTGTGCTATAGAGCTTCATTGTTGTCAATGAGCTACACTGTTGCTCTGGGTTACATGTTCCTTCATTACCATGAACACACACACTGTAGTTTATTTTGAATCAATCCCACATACACCATCCTGCTACCCCAAATACTGACTATACTACTCTATATTCTGCTGAAAATACTTTACAACTACTACTAAACTATATATTACAGCACTGAGTGCTGCAGACAGAGTGGACAAGTCAGAAAGTATCGTTGGTGTTGGCTTTTTAATGGATTTTCATGACAATAACATAAAACAAGAATATCACCAGCCTGATGCTGTAGCCTGGAGTCTCTACTTGAAAACAAAACCATAAACTAACATCTGACAGATGTTGTAATATGAAAAGGGTGACATGAGCGCAGTGAAAGTAATTGTGAAACCCCTGCTAGAACTAATTCTATGAAACTATTACTATGACAGGGATGTGTCACTGCATTGGCATGCAGCATGATGATGATGAGTATTATTGTTTTAAGTAGTTAATAGTCGTAGTATTTCTACTATGGATGAGAATTCACTTGTGGAAATCACTTGCATACTAAATACAAATCACTGTTTGTTTATTGATTTAGTCTTTTATGAATCAGAGAAAGAAAATCACACCTGTGGCTCTATCATCCAACGGTCCTTGGGTCTTCCCGGTTCTTTTTCCCCTTTGTACTGGTAAGCAGAAATCACTGGAATCTTGTTCCTGGTGTCGTAGAGCGTCAGAAACCTTCTCTCATTATCGTAAGTCTGACAAATTGGTTTGTATCGGTTCTGGTCCTGGATTTTCCCGCCCTTCAAGATGTCTGGGAGCTCTGGTGGAGTTTTCTCAAGGAGAAACTGGTCACAGTCTGACACCTTCTTTACCACCTCAGCCACTGTGAGAACAGTGGACAGGAAGAGGAAGGCAGCGAGGAACCAGATTGGAATTAAATACATAAATATGATATTAAATGTGTCATTAATTAATTCAAATACTGATTCATTTAATTTAAAATACGTATATAATTATTTCACTATTTACATTTACATTTCATGGTCCTTCGTTGCAGTGCTTCATGAATTACTTAAAACGGTCAAACTCACCCATCAAAAGTTGGTAGGCGGAACCTAACGCCTGATTGGTTACCCTGCGCATCAAGCAATCAATTCCAGATAATCGATGCAGAGCTAGTGAACACATTCCAATACACTGGGTGGCGCTATTGGACTACTTCTTCTAAATCTGCAGTCACTCTGTGGTCAATATCTTGGTCAGAAAGTGCGGAAATAACTCCAAGAACTTCAATAAGTTCCTCTGCTTTACTCGCTACATGCTCTGGGTCAGCAGCTCCTGCTCCCACATCCTCTGCTAAGTCTAAAAAATAAAATAAAGTGTTTAACTTTGAAAAATAAATTGTAGCAGCAGCTTGAGTTTCCCTTTTTCTCTGTTTCATATCTTGATTAACAGTCTCAACAAATTTTATAAATTAACATCAACACATCTTTACAATTGAACAGTTTCTCTTTCTTTCCCTTTTATATCTTTCTATACACTTTCTGTTGTTCAGTGAGAGAATTGAGCTCTAACCTCTCTCCCTCGTTGGGCAGTGAATGAATGGGTCAGGATCAGTGTTGGTCATCTTACTTTAAAAAAGTAATTAGTTATAGTTACAAATTACTTATCCCAAAAAGTAACTGAGATAGTAACTCAGTTACCACATTGTAAAAGTAATTAGTTATTCAGCAAAGTAACTGTGATGTTATTTTTTATGGTCTATAATTACATTCTATAACATCATCTATAACGTTAAAGATGTTTATAATCACTGAATAAAGAATAAAACACTATATACAGTATTTTAGAACATTTGGTATTTATTTGAACTCAATAGATTGCAGCCGGCCATATGCATAGAAATAAAAATAAAATAAATAAAACAAAATAAATATTGAAAATAAAATTCACACACGTTACATAAACATTCTTCCTTTAACTTCAGTAAGCGAGTAGTAGTGTCGGTACTTCCAGTTTGATATCGCTACCTTTGAATTTCCCTAGCTCGTCGCCATTGTCTCTGTCTTGGCATCCGCCCACCCAGCCGATCATCATCACCACCCTGCCCTCTGCTGGCAGCTGATGTGTGGCTGTCAGAAAGCCTGACACCGCTGCGCTTCATTCACCACATTGTAGGAACGCAAGTAACGCGCCACTTTACATTCTCAGTAACGGTAACGGCGTTACAACGATGGGAAAAGTACTTCATTAAGTTACTCCGTTACTTACTTACTTAATATAACGCCGTTAGTAACGCCGTTATACTTAAACGCCGTTACTCCCAACACTGGTCAGGATACTGGTTGAGTGATCATATTGGGATCTGAGCCTGCTTATTTTCTGTGACCTTGTTCAGACTTGAGTGAGTATGTTTGATGAAAACTGAACGTATGAGACACACTGGTTATGTGCTCCCAGTGGGAAGAATGAATGTGAATGAATCTGTCCATTAAAAGCTCGATTTTCTATCCACTTTTCTCTTCTTAGAGAGCGCCATAAATCTTCTGTTGTCTCTCGCTCACTCATCTGTCCGTTTCCTCTCCATGTATCTGTGACTTCTCTTTCTGTCTGTCCCTCCTCTCTCATCGCTCTCATCTCTGTATTCAGTCGCGCTGTTTAAACAGATTTGATTGGCTGAGCAGCATCACGTGGG